TTCTTTCCCTTCATCGGTAGGGTTGTGCTTGAAGTAAAAATAAATAGAAAATGTGGAACAAAAATCTGATCATGTAATTCGAATTTGAACTTCAAAGTATGTGTACATCAAATTACAAAAATGACTGTCAAGGTGGTGCTGTGCATTGAAAAAGACTGGGAGCTGGCAGCAATGGAAAGGGTAGAAACGAAACCAGTAATGCAGAGTATTCATAAGGTACAGGGAGATGAAAACGGGAGAGGAGTAGTGAGCACTTCAGTTTGAAGTAGTGTCAATAGACAGCATCGTGTTGCATACGTTGTGAATATTGTGTGAATCTAATAATTGTCACGAAATTGATATCCAAAATTATTATCCCCTGAGTAGTATTATGGTGTTCTCCTGTTTTTACATGCGGAGCCTTGACGTTGCTGGACGAGCGACAATATAATATTACATAAACATGTAGCTCGTGATGTGGGATGACTGCCGTATCGCATTGCCAACGCAAACCCATCCTGTGTCAGTGCAGCCATCCAGCAACTTGAACTCCCCGGACCAGATGCCGCTGCAGCTGAACACCATGCCGATGGAAAGCCAGGAGTTGATAGCGAAGCATTCTGGTCTGCACAGAACGAGGCAAAGAACAATTATGAATTATAATGCATTGTAATCTTTCCCACACTTCTTTGTAAAAACAAACAAACAGTGCCATTATCACAACACTTGATCAAGCATCTTGATGGAGGTATTTTCCATTGTGCTGGCTCAGCATCTGCACCAGGAAGACCATGTACACTTACACGTATCTTGTGTGTTCGTGCATGTGTGTTTGTGTATCTGTATGTGCACACGTGTGTGTGTGGGGGGGGACGCACATGTGTATGGGTAGGAATGTGTGTGTGTGTGGGGGGGGGGGGGTACACGCACATGTGTATGGATGTGCGCGCTGCATGCGTGTGTCTGTGGGATGGGGTGGGGGTGCACGCACATGTGTACATGTGTGTGCGCAATACAGCATGTGTGTATGTGTTCGTTGAACACAGGGTGTACTCCTGATTACATAAACTTCGTGATCATTGTGATTTCATGTGCTTTGAAGTTGAACTTCGCAATACATGTACTGATGCTTGATTAGATTTATGTTCCACATGTTCTATTTATTTTATTTTACTTCAAGCACTTGTACTATTCAAGCACAACCCTACCAATGAAGGGAAAGAAGCAGCAAAGACACCTACTGAGTCTAATGACTGCCACTGTCAGTTCTCAAACAAAAACAATTTTTGTCCAATTGAAAAATCTCACCTGTTAGTGTTGCTCACTAGCCACTAGTGACTAGAGGTGTTCGTCCACGAAATTTGCAATATGCCACTACGGTACCAGCAAGAGTAGGTAAGTTGGCATATAACAACAGCTATGCAAAGCCATGTTCATCTCCTCTTCACTTTGGAAGGCAGTACAAGCACCCTTCATACCTCGACATTGCCTTGGAGTGGAAGCAAATTCACCATGAGTTTTCCAATTCGCTACGATCGATCTCGGGGTGATGATCGTGTCTTCTTCATCACCACTGCAGCCTGGACAGCCTTCGGGAAGACATGTGTCACTCTCCTGCTCAACAGATTCCTACATCTAGATTTGGTTACCGTCAGGGACCGAAACAGAGCTGCAAAACACCAAAGTAATTGTTTTCTTCCATTCAATTACACTGCTGAACATGCACAGCATGGTGACAGCTATGCAGTACGCACGTCATCAAGGCCAATTTCCAAATATGGGAGGTGTTATTTATGAAATTTGACACAGTTCCTCTTCTCTGATCGGCTCGAGACATAGCTCATCGGAATCAGTGCCCAATTCTCCTTCGGATAAGCCATACTTATTTTTGGCGTTCAGTTTCCCTTTAACCGGTTGCAGACCGGTTACGAAGGATTAACGGTTAACCGATAAAGATAACGGTTAACGCAGTAACTTTTCAGTCAATTTTTCAAGTATCAGGTCGTTGCAAAGTATACACTTTAGCAGGCTGTCGCACGCGTACGCAATTTCTGGGTTGTCAACTCGGTCATATCTAGTCTCTTGGTGTGAGAGTATGTACATGTATGAATGAGCATGCTAGAGAATGTACCCGTGTGCGTTGTACTGAATAGGGTACATTTTTTGAATGAGTGTAGTCAAATAATATTATTTATTATTATAGTTATAAAAGAGTCCGCAGGATTGCCGTGGCTTATAGGTTATAACCGTTAAACCGACCGTTAGCTTAGCAGTTAACCGTTCGGGGTAAAACCGTGACCGTTTGAGCCCTATAAATTATACTTCGAATAGTTGATGTTCGGTCATGATGGAAGGAGAGGTGGAGCTACGGGAGAGATAAGCTGATTATTCGCAGGGTGAGGGTGACATCGGTTGGACGAGTATGATGATTACGAAGACAGTTGAACATGATAATTTTCAAAGGTAACTCCAACTACTTTGGCAATGAAAATTGATAATATTTTTACTGAAGTTCAAAAGAAATCAAGTAATGAATAGAAGAATTCGGCTGGTGAGCTACATGTGTGATAACTCGCTCGGACAGCGTTCCGGTTAGTCTCGTCTGGCTGGATCGCTAACCTCGGAACGTTTTGTGACAAGTATAGTCACGGCTGGTATGGAACGCAGCTTCACCCAATCCTAATCCCAACACACACACACCAACTGATCTCGTCAGAGCAGAGAATATGTTCCTGTTTGGAAGAAGAGCACCGAAAGAACCTCTCGCTAAAAGCAACAGCATGCTATGATATAACACATTGTAGAAAACAGCAAGCAGGGGCAGTAGCGATAGTACTTGCTAAACATGCAGCTAAACTGCTAATTTGTCCTCTGCGCGGAACGGCGATCGGACACGCACACGCACACACATACACGCACAGGTCTGCGTGATCTAGAAGCGGCGGTCATCATGATAACATAAATATGCAAAGTGTGAAAGAGTATTAGAAAGGGGCGAGACTAGACCCGGATTCTGGACCGCAATAACCTGATTAAAAGCATTGCCAACCAAGTGGTCAAGTAGGTGCACTCACACTCATCCACACCTCGCGTACTACTACTATATTGCAAATTCATAATTACATTGTATTGCACTTTCTACCGCAAGTGCACAGTCGTGCGCTTCATCTATTGACAGCCAAACCTATCATTCTACAGGTAGGTGATATAGCTGGCACACACCGTATAGTATATTGTACAATAACTGTTCCAACTACAGAAGACATAGTGTGTCCACGTTCTACGCACCGTAGCTATCAGAAGTAAGTAATAGTTACAAGCCCTCACTCTCGGGCTATGACACATGTAGGTGTCAGGCCGCCGAACGTCTCAGTACTCCTTGTCAGTTTTGTGCCATTTTGTCGCACTCGCTAACTGTATAAGATCTGGTTACGTTAGTGGACAGTTAGTCATAACTCGTAACATGTTGTCCTCCTTTTTCACCATGAATAGAAGAAGTAATGTTTTCTCTTTTCCATGTTGATCTCTAACATGCATGGACATCTTGGTATGGGGATACTCATGTATTTTGTTGTACTTATTTATTTATTTTATTTATTTATTTTTTATTCCACTATGGCGTGACGCCAATAAGGATGATTAATAAGTGCGATAGAACTGGTACTAGCCAGAAACAGCTAGATGGAAATTAACCGGGAGGCAAGAAGCAATGGATCATGAAAAACAAGCGGGGGCAATAATGTTAGCAGGGGTGATCGAGATAGTTAAGTATACGTTCGAGATATCAGAAACCAGGGGGATGCGCGGAGCAGGAGCAGGTACTGCTCAAAAGAAGACTGGATGCATTGTTTCGGAAAGAATTTCTACGAGGTTGGGTTGTGATGTCGATAGGGAGTGAGTTGTAGAGGGTGAGGGCACTGTTGATGGAGGAGTCTCGGTGCCTGTTCGTGTGTGCGTGTCCGATGGAGTAGGTCCTTGTCTGTCGAAGGGTGTATGGTTGGTGTTGACGTTGTGGTGCAAGATGTGGTTGTTGCAGGTGTGGTGGGGAGGTTTGGTGGTGGATGTCCCATGCTAGTAGGGCTTGTTTAACAAGGAGTCGTGAGCTAAGGGTGGGGAGCTTTGCGTGATGGAGGAGGGAGCTGTGGTGAACTGGTGCAAAGAGGGGAATCCGAAGGCAGATGCGTATAGCACGGCGTTGAATTCTCTCCAGTGTGTCCCGCTGTTGCTGTGTGGTGTTGGAGAGGGCAAGGCTGCCATATGCGAGAACGGGTCGGATGTAGGTTGTGTATATTAACAATAGGCTGGAAGCGTTCATTGTGCCACGTGTCTTGTGGAGTTGGTGTAGTAGTTTTTTGGCTTTGTTGGTGGTTTCTATGATGTGTTGGGGACTTATGGCCACTTGCAACTTGCAAGTACGAAAAAAGCACAATTTCGGAACATTGAGGCTCCATAAGTACAACAAAGTGAATATATATCCCCGGGTGCCAAAGCATAATATGAGGATTTTGCGAGCATAATGCAAGAATCCATCAAAGCATAATTCCATGATTTCGCGAGCACAATCCGCCGGAGCCTACCACGCAAGTGCAACCTTTATCGTTTTCATATCGTGCCTGCTTGAAAGCAACCCTGCATAACAAATTATCTGCTGATTTTGGCCAAACTTCTAATACTTTGTTGATTGAAACGTAACCACTTCACACTGATCAACAACCAATCCAGAACCGATCCACATGTGCTACTACAGGCAGAACATTTCGTCGGGCAATAATTTCGTCCAACTCCAAAGAAAGGGAGTTCGTCTGGTTGAAAATTTCGTCCATGTATCATAAGAGTGTATTGAAAAGCTGGACAAATGGACATTATTCCGGCAGTTTATTTAGTCCGAAAGCTCCTCGGACGAAAAAGAGGAAATTAAGTTCCAGACGAATATTTCTGCTTATACAGTATACGGTATATGTGCTATAATAGTTTCATTTTCTGTTGCTTTCAACGTCTCCTCTTTCTGCCGTGCAATTTTGTTTAGGCAATAGATCTACCTAACTGAATTCCTGCTCAACTCAGCTTTTCCTTTTCTTTCTTGCTCCGCTGTGGGTTGCTTATCTCCCTCGATACAGTGGATATCCTCTAGTTTAGTGTGATGGCAAGTTCCACACCAATGGTTTAATTAAGCTCCCTGTTTTCGCTGCACGAGTCACCTCAGTCCTTGCTTTCAGTTACAAGTTTTGTTTTTTGTTTTGTTTTTCTTAAGCCTCTTATACGGGCAATCACAGAACATGATTTCACTGGCCTGACCGCGGCAACAACTGCAAAGCAAAACAAAACAAAAAATGTAAATGAAAATAACAGTTACAAGTACATGTATACTGACGTCACTTCAATTCAGTTCTACATGATTGTACATGAACATCACCTTGCTCGGAGCGAGTTCGCGTTATAATTAATGTTGTTGTTGTGTTTGTTTTAATTCGCAAACCAACCGGGCAGATCTGCCCGATGAAAAGGTAGCGAATGCAGATAGAAAGCAGTAATTAATGAAATAATTGGGGAGGAATGTAATAAGGAGAGAGGGATATATAAGCACTGTTGTGATTTGCTATGTGCACATGTGTGTGTGTGTGTGTGCGTGTGCGTGCATGCTTACATGATTGTGTGTTTGTTCGTTGTGTTCATTCGTCAGTCTAGTCTGGTCTTGTAGTTTGATGTATTCCAATTCGGTTGCCCTTGTACGCCGTCGTGCGGCAACACTCTTTTTCTGATGTGGCTTTCAAGCGGTTTGAGAAAACAAGTGAGAGATACGATCGTAGAGTGAAGTTCACATCCAATTAATCTAGTTATTCCGTAGCTTTCTGTTTTTTTTTTGCTTGCCGTTTGAATCATTTCCGACTTCTGATGCACTTCCCAAGAGACTTTTCCATTTATGCCATCCATGCATCTTGCTTTTTCCTGTAGGTTCGTGCTCTTTTCAACGAGCATCGTCACGAAGTTTTCACAGAAAACGACGTTCCCTGAAACAGGCAACGAAGTGCTTTTCCTCTACAAAGTAACTTCTTCAGCCATCGGCGTAGACGACGTGCTATATATTCGTGAGGCATGGCGAACAAACTTATGAAATTCTATCTCTCTATCTCTCTCTCTATCTCTCTCTCTCCCCCCCCCCCTCCCCCTCCTCCTCCTCCTCCTCTCTCTCTCTCTCTCTCTCTCTCTCTCTCTCTCTCTCTCTCTCTCTCTCGTGAACTGAGCAGCAAATCTAAGCGAGCGGACAAATTTTGGGGAAACGTGCCCCAACTTTATGCAAACTGCCAAAGGGCATCATTTTATCCATTACCTAAGTATAGTCAGGGAGCCGACCTTCAAAAAAGTGGCGCTCCAGGTCGGGCGAGATGGAGTACAAGATCTCTTCAGCAATGGGTTATGGGTCTATCAGAGAAGGGCTTTCGAGTTCTTGGCCATCCCAAAGCTGTGCA